TGTCTAACAAAATAAAATAATGTGTTTAACGTAATAATTTCTGTATATAATCAATAATTATACTGATAATCGTACAGTACTCACATTTGATGAGTCTCTCCCCCATGAGGTAATTGTTCATCGTCTCGGCAACGATTTTGGCCACCTCATCGCAGTCGAACTCAACGAACGCGTAGCCTTTGCTGCCGCCTGTCTGCGAGGAAAAAGATACGACACGATGAAACACAGGAAATGTGTTTATGTTCTGTGATTTATTCTCCTCCTGTTGTTGTTGTTGTTGTTGTTGTTGTAGGAACATGGGTTTTATCGCTCTGCCAACGGGGGAGCAGGTGATAAGCTTAACGCTCCACAATCCTGTAGGCTCAGATATCTGACCTCAGACCACCGGTAACACCTGAGGTCATTTTCAGTCTGAGCCAAAGGGAAAACCTTCAAAATAAAAGTCACGATGATTACGAGCGCTACCTTTTTACTCCGGGACAGCCGCAGACGCAGGACTTTCCCAAACTGCTCGAAGTAAGATTTGAGCTGCGGCTCGAACAGGCCGAGGGGGAGGTGGCCGACGTAAATCACTCCGGGAGTCAGACGGCTTCCCTGTGAAAGAATAAAAACACAACGAGTTATAAACGACACAAACACACTTAACGTTTCAGACCTTCGTCAGGGAAAGGGTTAAAGACGAGGAGGAGGAGCCGGTTTACAACAGGAAGCAGCAGGAAGGCACTCTTAATTATTAACCAACAAGAAGAACTATTAACTCTTTAAATATCTTTAATATATATATAAAGATAACTTTACTTTAGATCTCCGTCCTACAGTTTATTTAAGTCTTCTATTTTAAATGTATTATTTCTTGTTATATGATTTATTATTAATATTAATATTGGTGATCAGATATTCAGTTTCAGTAACCTTATATTTTATATAAACTAAACTGTGTGTATTGGTTCATTATTGATTATTATTGGTGGCTTAAACTAATCGATTAGGCCACTGAAACATCTGACATTTTAAATTAGACCAGTTAAAAAAAGAAAGATTAGCATTCAAGTTGTTTGTCCGACAGCTTTATATATTTATATTTATATATTTATATATTTATATTTTATATCTATTAACACTGATGTTTCAACATTTTCATTTAGACACAAAGAAACATTCAAGAGAGTTTAAAAGAGTAAAGTTGTGTCCCCTCTGTAAAAGGTCTCTCTCTC